AAGGCCGTAAGCAGGTTAAGTATCTCCTGCTTATTTTTTATAGTTCGTCCTTCTGCCATCAGTAACCACCCCCTCTCCTGATAAATTGCCCCATGAATATGAGCTGTGGCAAACGCATAATGGCTGTCTGTAGATGTTAAGCTGTTTTCCAGCTCCCAGCATCAGTGCCTTGGTGAGGGCTATGAGCTCTGCCCGTTGGGCTGATGTTCCAGAGGGTAGAGCCTCTGCCCATATGGTGTCTGTTTTGGTGACCACTGCTGCACCTGCATACCTGTGTCCATCTCGCACAAAGCTGCTGCCATCAGTGAACCAAGTAGCCTCTGCATCGGGGAGGGGCCAGTCAGTCAGGTCCGTATGGAATCCATGTACTTGTTCCAGGATTCCCGCACAGTCATGTAGTGGAGCAACTAGGTCAGGGTCGGGCAGCAGGGTTGCAGGATTGAAGGCTGCACTGGGGTGGAACCGCACTCGTGGAGGGTTGATAGGAGGCTCTGGTAATGACTCATGTGTGTTGCTCATCCATCTATCACGAGGCTGTTTCAGGACCCCTTCAATGGCGTGTGGGGTCATGATCCAGATCTCCTGTCCTAGGGTCAGTTTGTTTGCATCCTTGACTAGGAGTGCTGTCGCCGCAATAATTCTTAGGCATGGTGGCCAGCCGGCAGCCGCTGGGTCTAGTTTCTTGGACAGGTAAGCCACCAGGTGGTTCCAAGGGCCTAAGGCTTGAGTTAGAACCCTTTTGCTATTCCCTTATGTTTGTCTACAAAGAGGTGGAAGGGCTTCATAATGTCTGGTAGGCCCAGGGCTGGGGCACTTAGGAGGGCCTTTTTTAACTGATTAAAGGCAGTTTCTTCTTTTTCAGCCCATTTAAATGTTTTCCCCTCTTTGGTAGCTTCATATAGGGGCCTGGCGATCTCAGCAAAACCTGGAACCCAGAGGCGGCAGTAGCCGGCTGATCCTAAGAATTCCCTTACTTCTCTTCGGGAGGTGGGAGTAGGGATCTTTAGGACAGTTTCTTTTCTGGCATCTGATAACCGCCGCTGTCCACCCTCCAGGATATATCCCAGGTAACTTACCCTCTCCCGGCATATCTGAGCCTTTTTCGCAGATGCCCGGTACCCTAAGGCCCCCAGGGTAGCCAGCAGGTCCTCGGTCCCTCGCTCACAGTCTTTGGCCGTGTCGGCAGCAATCAGGATGTCATCTATGTACTGTAGGAGGGTGAGGCCAGGGTGCTCCTTTCTGTACTGACCCAGGCCTCGTGTAGTGCCTCATCAAAGCTGGTGGGCGAATTTTTGAATCCCTGAGGTAGCCGTGTCCAGGTGAGTTGCCCACTGTAGCCCTCCTCCGATCATGCCACTTGAAGGCGAACAAGGTTTGGCTCTGGGGTGCCAGCGGCAGACTGAAGAAGACGTCCTTTAAATCTAGTACAGCATACCAGACCCTGGAGGGCGCCAAGGAGCTCAAGAGAGTATATGGGTTGGGAACAGTTGGGGTGTATGTCCGTGACCCTCTTATTTACTTCCCGGAGGTCTTGTACCGGTCGGTAGTCATTTGTGTGAGGCTTTTTGACTAGCAGTAGGGGGTGTTCCAGGGAGACTGGCAAGCAACTAGTATGCCTAAGCTTTGTAATCTCCGGATGTGTGGCTGGATCCCCTTCCGGGCCTCCTGAGACATGGGGTATTGTTTGATCCTTACCGGACTCTCTCCTGGCTTGAGCTCTACCAGGACCGGGGTCCTGTGAGCAGCCAGTCCTATCTCCCCCCTCTGTGCCCAAACGGAGGGGAATTCTTGTAACCATCTGTCTATATTATCCTCTCTCGGGAGCGCCTCCTGGTGGAGGCAGTATTCATCCTCCAGTTTCATGGTCAGGACCTGGATGGCGTGGCCCTTGCCATCGGACCTGAGGCCCCCCTTGTCTGAAAGTTATCTGAGCTCCAATCTTGGTCAGTAAGTCCCGTCCTAACAGCGGGTAGGGGCATTCTGGTATTACCATAAAGGAGTGGGATACCGGGCCCGTCCCCAAATCTACCGTTCTTTGGGTAGTCCATGAATACTGGCTCATACCAGTTGCCCCTTGTACCCAGGACTTCTTGCTGGCTAATTTTCCTTGTGGGGTGCAGAGGACCGAATATTGTACTCTGGTGTCAAGGAAGTCAACAGGGGTCCCCTCTACTTTAAGAGTTACCCTGGGTTCGGGGAGAGGGTCCGAACCCCAACTCCCCTAAGCACTTAGTTCATCTAGCTCTAGGACTTTTACTCGATCAGTCTTGCTTCCCTTCCCGCTGGCCCTTTTCAGACACTCTCGGGCCCAATGCCCTATCCCCTTGCAGTATGCGCACTGATCTTTCTGCAGCCTCTGCTTCCCCCCCTTGGTGGTTCCTTTACCTTTTCTTGTCTATCATCTGCCAGGTGCCGGAGACAGCGGTCTTGTTCCTCGGGGAAGTCAGCAGTGGTAGCTAGTAGTATTTTGGCCAGGTCTCGAGTCTGCTTACTGCTGGTAGCTGCCATGGCGCGAGCCTGCTTGTCCTCAGGAGGCTCCTGGTTATTATATACCTTTTTGGCTACCACCAGTAAGTCCTGCAGACTTTTTTCTCCTAGTCTATCTATTTTCTGTAATTTTCTCCTACTGTCTATGGCCGATTGGTTTACAAAGGCCATGATAACAGCTGCCTTGCTTTCTGGAACCTCTGGATCCATGGGGGTATAGGTACGGAATGACTCCATGATCTGCTCTAAAAAGGCAGCCGGAGATTCATCTTTTCCCTGTTGTACATTTCCTACCTTGGCCAAATTGGCTGGCTTTCTAGCAGCCATTTGGAGACCCCCCATTAGAATCTGGCGGTAGACCCGGAGCCTCTCCTTACCTTCGGCCGTGTTGAAATCCCACTGGGGCCGAGTTAAGGGGAAGGAGGCATCTATCTGAGCCTGGTTGGTGGTGGGATTCCCATCTGTGCCCGAAACTAGTTTTCCGGCCCCACTGAGGATTCTTTCTCTTTCTTCAGTCATGAACAGTACCTACAAAATCTGCTGGCAATCGTCCCACGTGGGCTGATGTGTAAAAAGAACAGAGTCTAATAAATCAATAAGCCCTGCCATTTTCTCGGAAAACTTAGGATTCTGAGCTTTCCAATTGTAGTGGTCACTAGTGGCGAAAGGCCAAAAGTGATGGGGCTGATTCCCCTCCGTGTCTGGGGGTCCGGTGGCTCACAGGGGCAGAATAGTGGAGTCAGCGGTGGAGGCGGATTGCTCCCTCTGAGCCCTTTGTCTGGTAAAGGGCGGGCTTCCCACTGGAGCGTTTCCACCTCCCGCTCTCGGAACAGCGTCTACCTTCCCCGGACGGGGAAAATGGTATTCTTCCGGCATCCTAGGGGATGGAAAAATTAATTCTTCTTCAGTTCCCCCTGTAGGACAGGGTAGAGGAGTGTTGAAGGCTGAGTAAGACTTTTCTTCTTCTTTGTCCCCTGCAAAGCAAGAATGTGTTTTGGCTCTGGAGGGAGTGGGGCTAGAAAGGGCTTAGGCCAAGAGGGTGGGTCTTCTACAAGGTCCTGCCAAGTGATAATGTAAGGGAGCTGATCAAGATGGCCTGTCTTAGGCCGAGAGATGATATTCCTGACTCAGTGGATGGGAGGAAGGTCGAAAGTCCCCTCTGGTGGCCATCCGACATTGAAAGTTGGCCACTCGCTAGAACAAAAAACCTGCCACCGACCCTTTCGGACTTCCACACTGAAGTTATTAGCTCTTCCCCTCACATCCTTAAAGTGATCAATCACAGTACTTAGAGGAGTAGTCTGAGTCTGTCCCATAATGTCCGTCCAGTAAGTCCACAGAAGAAAACAGAGAAACACAGAAACAAACAGAGGGCCCCTAGAAATTCTTCCAACTCCATGGAAGCAAAACTGAAAGCTAGACGATGGTCTCTCGCCAGCCAGCGGGAGTGACCGGCCTCGTTTCAGACCTTTGAGGGGATTCCAAGTCCCTCCAAAACCGATGAGGGGATTCCACGTCCCTCCAAAAGGGAGGATCGGAATGTCTTCCGAAACTCCCGGCCCATGGTCCTCCAGTGCATCTACTTAGACCGCGTTGGGCACTACCAGAATTTCAGAAATGAGCTCACACAGAAAAGACAGAACGAACAGACACTAACTGTGGCCAGTCAGGCTCTCTGGGTCGGGGATCCCTCAGGGGACTTGGGGATCCTGGGTCGAGCCCCCAAATGTTATGCCCAGAATTCGTGATCCCCAAAGACCACCAGGGAGCCGAGTCCGATGCAAAAGCAAAAGAGCCTTTATTCGAGCTAGCTCGAGCTCAATCCCCTACCTGCACCAACACAGCGGTGAGATACCAGGGAGAGACAGCGAATTTCAAAAGGACAAAGGTTTTATTGGGGCCTAGGGGCAGTTGGTGAGGTAATGGCTGTGGCCTCAGCCGATTGGCTGGGGAAGGATTGGAGTCCTGTTACTCAGGTCACCAGGCGTGTTTTGATCGGGAAGTTTGAACGGGTGAGCAGGAGGTTCCTCAAGGGGAGGAGGCGTGGTCAAGGTAAAGGACACAGAACAAGATGGAGTCTAGGCCTGCCCTTTCAGAGATCCCAGTCATATAGGACATGAGTCTCCATCAGTTTACAAATATCTTAGCAAATTACAAGAAAAAGGCAATCTTATTAATAGACTAGTCTCCAGAAACCTATAGACTCAGTGCCCTAGAACCCCAACATCACCCCTCCATAGTTATGTGGGGAATAAAGGCAAGAAGGAAATGGCAGGTAAAATTAAATTTCCTTATAACCTGCAGCCCACTGACAGATACTTCAGGCAGGCAGAGTATAACGTTTCTCCAGGAACTCCCTACTGTCCTGTTAATGCCTTACTAGAGGGAAAACAACCTTAGTTTGACAATAGCAAGGCCTCAGCTAATTTAGGAGTCCTTTTTACCATATCAAAGTCCCTCCAGAGGTCTCCCTTATGATGTTACCTCCTCAACTTCATAGTATATAACCAGCCACTCTTCACAACCCCAGTGCAGCTCTTTCTGCCCATGGGCCCTGTCCTTTGCTTTAATAAAATCACCTTTTGCACCAAAGATGTCTTCAAGATATTTCTTGGTCATGGGCTCCAGACCCCCCCAACATCAGCCCAAAACTTCGTCAGTATCTGAAATTCAACTTTAAGTAGGTTTCCTGTATTTCATCTGGTCACCCTTCACATTCTGTATTCTTTTTCTCTAACTGCAATTGTTGGCAGATCAACAACCAAGAAAGGTAGGTTCTATAACAGCATACTAATGAATTCCAGCTTTTTAATCACCAGTACTATTGTTATAAAAAGAGCTCAAGGGACTACCACACTGCAATTCTGTGCGTAACGACTGAACATTTTGAAAGATCCTGGAGGAATAATTTGTGGCATAAAATTCCTCCTTAAACCAGGCTCTGATTTTACCCTCAAAACCACACTATACAGTTAATACAGAACAAAAAAATTACATTTGTTCTACTTACAAAATGATGCAGTGTCATCGACACAACCATTAAGAAAAAATTCTTGAATTCTTGAGACATTTTACAGTTCAGAAACGTGCTTTTATTACAGCAGGGGGACAGGACTACTGGGCAGACAGACCTGCACTGTGATTGTGAGGTGTGACTGATTAAATATTTTTAGCTGGGGTGGCGGAGAGATGGGGTGAAATAACTGAAGTCTCTAGAGGGATTTCTGTATATTACAGAAGACTTACAGCACCTGGAGGGCTGGGTATTGTCAAGATAAGGTTGCTTTTAATTTCTGGCAAAACATTAACATTAAGCAGCTGTGAGTTCTTTAAGGCATGTCACACTCTGCATGTTTCAGGTATTTATCAGTGGGCTGCCAGTTGTAAGAAAATTTAAGTTTATCTACATTTCTCTTGCCTTTGTTCTCCTCAACAAAAGAGAGATTCCTTATTGCTAGTAACTGTGAGACTAAAAGGCATGCAGATGCTATGTTTTTCAGCCATGAGTCCTAAATCTAACCTAATCTTAGCATATACTACTGATTGTAGTGGCAAACAATTTTCTTTCTCAGCATTTCAATTTCATCCCCTATAAAACAGGGGAAACACCACTTGTTCTGACTTCAATATGAAGTGCAAAGGGATGTTTTCAGCAGGATTTAAAGTTAAGAACACCAAACTGACAATGAGGAGCTAATTCTATTTCCAATAACAAGACTATATAGATATGATTCTGAACCATTACAACTTTTCTGGAGTTCAAGTTTTTCAGTCACAAAATTAGGCAGTTGAATGACTCCCAACAACTTTATCCACAGGTCAGGAGGTGATTATTAGGTCGATCAAGTCCCTTAAGGTCTATTTGCCCCTTAGCTTCCTCTTTGTTAAATAAGAGAAAGACCCCCTTACTCCTTCACTCACTGAACAGGGATGATATAAGATTCAAATTAGAAAATTCATGTGGAATCTTTCAAAATCTCTTCTGTGCACATATTTAAGATTTTTCTATCTCCTGTATACTTAGTATTCATTCCAATAGAGATATAGGGCTGGGGTAAGGAGCAATGGCTTTTCATTTCTACATAAATTTCTGCCAAGAGAATCAGAGCAGGGATGAGAGGAAAAGGTGTTCCTCATGGTACAAGGCCACAGTCTGAAGGCCAACGGGGTCTGGAAATAGGTTAGTTACTGGCACCCCCAGAACTCAAAGTCATTGGCCAAAGAAGAACTGCATAATGTCATTCTTTATAGAATTTCATGAAGTCCCCCTGATGTCAGCAGGCCGGGTCAAGTGGTGGGAAACAAAGGCAGAAGAAAAAATAAATTTCTTTACATCCTAAAACCATTGACAAGTCCTTGAAATATAGGCAAAGTGACATTCCTCTGGGAGCCCAGCTGTCTCCATAATGATACTGTGCTGAGGGCAAAAGGGAATCTTAGCTTATTATCCCGACTTCCCAGGATCCTATAAATCTACTTTAAAATTAAAAATTCCTTTGGAAAATTTCCTTTATCTCTAATCCCCAAGATATAATTTGGTAAACATCCTTCAAGATTATGGCCCTCTGATACACATCTAAAGGGTCTCATGACTGAGTTTTTACTAAACAGTAATAAATGGCCTGTTCCTAACAGCAGCCAGTCCCTCAAGATCCTAGAAATCTTGTTCAAGAATACCTTAGAGACTTAATCTATCCCTAACCCACTCCCAGTTTGAAGGTATATAATCAGTCACCCATCACAACACCAGTGCTTCTCTTTCAGGGTCCTGTCCATGTGCTTTAATTAAATCACCCTTTTACACTGAAGACAGCTCAAGAATTCTTTCTTGGCCATTGGCTCCAAGCAACACATCGAGCTATGTCATTTGGCATCCTAACATGGGGTTGAACCTTCTGATCTGGATTCTGAGCTTCATTACAAATATGGTAGTACTTCCTCTGCTCTTGCTTTACTTTCATTTCAGTGGCTTTTCAGCAAGTATGATCTTATTGGACCACTTGTCGATTGCTCAGGCTGCAATCCTCTAGCCTGTGGCTACTCTACTGCTTTTTGGCTGGAAGTTAGTACCCTGGATGGAATGGTAATAAGACCCAGAAACTTGCTCTCTCTTCTTTTCTGTCCTTGTACAAAGTTGTCTGTCTTGGGCATGGGACAGCCACCTAAGTTACCAGGATGACTGCCAATCTTAGCACTCCGTGTGAAGTTTCCTCCTCATTGGTCTAATGTGATCCTCTCCATATCCTTGGTCTAGCCACTTCTGGCTGTGAGACCTTCACTCAGAGCCAGTCAAAACCAGTACCCGATTGAAGTAAAACCTGAATGGGGATCCGTTTCCTAGGAAGTTGGCCATAAGAACTAAATGCATTGGAATGTTACTTAGATAATTAAGGATATCTATCTTCACTGTTTTCCCTACTAACTACTTAAACTACAGAATTGGGTAATTTCCCCTTGTAAAACTTTCCCAGTGCTTTCCATGGGTTAGAAAACAAAACAAAACAAACAAACAAACCCCAGCATAACCTTCACAGCAAAGCTACAGGGTGGCCTTCACGGGAAGGCTTGGACACGGTAGGCATGGTATTTTGGTCCATTAACCAGGCATGCATCTGTAGCCTAGGATGCAGTGGGGAAGGAGAGGGTCGCTAGCATCCCTTCTCTGCGGTCTTTACAGTCAGATGGTGATCAATAGCAATTTTCATTCGATAATCAA